TATAACCTTCCCAAAAAAAGATATTAAAAGAATCAACCTTTTAACAAAAAGAAAAGAAAAAAAATTTAATTAACAAAAAGAAAAAAAAAATGGAAAAAAAAACTAAAACGCTAAACGCTAAGAAATTATACTACTTTCGTTGTGTGGCGCCGAGGGCGACTTTAAAGCTAAACACCAAGAAGAAGCTAACGCTTAACTACTTCCTACAACAAAAACAAAAACAAACAACAGCAATATTTTACTACAATCTTTTATTACAGAAACACGAAGAAACGACAGGAACAACACACAACATAAAACAACCTGAAAAACCAAAACAAAACGACTGAATCTCTCTCTATAGCTAATACTCTCTCTCTCTCTCTCTATTTCTATCGCTCTATCTCTCTCTCACACACACTCTCTTTTCTCTTTGTTTATTACTGTTGAAACAACTTAAATACACATACATATATACACACTTACATACACACACAAACACACACACTCAAAAAATAAACTCAAAGTTTATGAGTACATTTGTTGTCGCCATTGTCGCCTCACACTCTCTCATCTGGTGATTGTGTATGTGGTCTTTATATACGTGCCATCTTTATCGTAGTCATTAGCGGAATATAAATATATGTATATATGTATATGCATACATATACAAAAAATACAATATATGATTAAAACGAATTGGCTGCAGCGCAGCAGATGTCAAATGTGCAGCAGCAGCAGAAGCAGCAGCCTCCAACAAAAAGCAACGCAAAAGCGAATTGCCGGTATTAAACGGTATTAAATACACACACACACACCCACGCACACACACATACATATATGCGCATAAGATAAGCTTTACGAACTTATGCACTCTTTGCTGTAAACTCTCACGCTCCTTAACTCACTCTTACCCTCTCTCTTTCTTTGTATTTATATATGTATATATGCATATACATATATATGTTCTCTGTTACATACAAACAAAAACAATCAAGCGGCAAAGCAGTCAGCAGAAGATGCATGCAAAGCAGACAAAATTAATTGCGAGCGCCTTGCGCCTGTTAACTATGCAATGCAAATGCAAAATGCGCAGAAACCGAAAACAGAAACAACAAGAACACAATGCGTTTGCAAATGGCGTCTCCTTTGCGCGGCAGCCTTACATTTGCGTCTGCGTCGACGTAAGCGTCGATTCTTTTTTATACTTAATCGAATTTTAGTTATTTGTTAATTAAAAGCGAAAATAAAAATTAATTGAAATCAATACGAAACATCAAGAATGAAACAAAGCAAACTGAAAAAAATGTGAAGAAGTGGGCATAGTTTAATTGGGTTTTGTTGTTAGCTGTTACTAGGATTTTTTTTTTTCGTTTACCTATTGCCTATTTATATATATTTATTATAAACAAATGTAATATTTATGCATACGAATTTTAAATTAAATTGTTGTTTCTACCTTTGTTTTTACGTATTGTATAATTACATACATTTATTGTTTTCTACACCTTAAGTAATTAAGTCAAATGAATTTATAAAAATACAATGCGAAAAAAATAAAGAAATCAAATATATATATAAACGAGTGCAACTTCTCTTTAACAAATATATTATTATGAATATTAACAAAACATTATAAAAAAA